AATTAAAGATAGAATACTCTTTTCATAATAATTAAGGATAGAGTACTCTTTCCATAACAATTAAGGATAAAAATAGAATTGTATTGCATATATACTTTTTCTAAGGACATTGATGAGACTAATTGGGTCTCATATCGAGAACCAATTATTAATCACATTAATAATTTTAATTTAATAGTCAAATCCCTATCCTATCAACTGTTCGTAAAAGCTCTTCCATAACATGTGATTAATTATTTATAAATAATATTTTACATTTCGTCCCTTACAGTATCATTTATTTTAGGCAACTCTTTCGAGCTGGACAGTTCACCTATTTGCTCATGCCTAATTGAAATTCCCATGAATATAAATAAAAATTATTTTGAGATATCAACATATGTTACTTTTATTATGAGATTGTATAATAAATTATCTCATCATAATGAGCATAATACATATTGAATTCTATCTAGATATCCATCATTTTCCTAAATGAAATCTAGTAACCCAACGTTTCAGATTGTGTAGCTGTAGGGCCTCGAAAAAGATTCGAAAAAACGATTGGTTCTCTTAACTGTTTTAGCGTTGAGAAAAAATTCTATTGCTTGGTAAGGATCTGTTTACAATCGCTCTTTCTCAAGTACAGAAGAGGAGAAGGTTGGTTCGACTTCTCCTTTGTTTAATGTGGGTTTTGTGTGGCGAAAGGATGCCTCACTTGATGTTTGAGTTGAGCTTGCTTCCCGTTGACGATCGAAACAAAATCACTTCAATTCAAAGAGAAGAATCAGCCTCTGTTGGTGGCTTAGATCATAAGAACCGAGGTTCAGATCTCAAAAAAACACCCCAGAACGTGAGTGCTAGCTCTCTGCTCTGTGTTCGTTCGTGCTCGTGATTAGTTGTTCTTTTCATAGCTGTTTGAGGCTATTTATAAGCCTTTAGCGTGTAACTGACGCGCTGATATCATAGGTTCAGGGTGTAACTGACTCCTCAAATTTAGCCTATGTGGGTTGACTGGGTCTTCAAGACCGTTACAGCCGAACTTTATTTGGTGAGACGAGCCTCGTTGTGTGACGAGGTTCGTCAGATGAGACGAGCCTCGATGCGCAGCGAGATTCGTCTGACAATGTGAGTTTCGCTGAACGGTAAGGTTCGTAGCAAGTCTCGTGGGCTTCTTCTGACGAACTTCGTCATCATTGACGAGCTTCGTCTTTAACAATAAGCTTCGTCTTCACCGACGAGCTTCATTTGCTGAAGAATAAGGTGTTAAGAGTCTTGTCTCTAGGTGAACTTTGTCTTCAGTGATGAGTTTCATTCTCTGAGAGGTGAGGTATTGTTTGACGAGGTTCGTCTGCGGATGGACTTTCGTCTCTTGAATGGGCTTCATCTTCTAGAGGATTTTCATCTCTAGGCGAACTTCGTCTTCAATGACGAACTTCGTTTTCGATGATGAGCTTCGTCTCGTCTCCAATGACAAGCTTGTTGGCTGAGATAAGGTTCGTCATGATGATGACCCTCGTCATGCTTACAGCGAGGTTCGACCCTGCTTTATTTCTTGGCATTTTTAGTACCTACAGTAGCGCTTGCTAAACAAAATTAACCATCACATCAAAGCATACTAAATTATCAATTAAAAATGACAATGTCATCAAGTCAAATGGACTATGTAACAATCTGAATTCTCCATCTCTTAGGTGACTTGTCCTAGAGAATTTAAATACGGTCTAGTGCTACACACATCACAATGTGTGTTTATGACATACACCCGACAAATCCCCATTCTTGGTGGTTGAGATCCACCACTACATCTCACATGTCGATATCATGCATAATAACTAGGTATAATTAAGTTATCCTTTATTAGTTATAGGTTAAGTACAGGTTTAAGAAAATTATAAGGTAGATCACATCTCCAAGTAAGTGACACATCACAGTGTATGATCTAACAAAAATATCTTTTAAGGATACTATAACAATTATAGAAATGATACCCAAATTATATGTGCAACAATAAGATCTTTATTAATATTCAAAAGTATTACATAAAATATATTGGATGTTCAAGGGCATATTATTACCATTCCAGTAGTTCTAGCACAAGACGCTGTCGACCATCTCAACTACCTGCTTCACCGCCCAAACCCCATCGTCGGCTCCCCAAAATCTCACCGCTCAAATCTCAGTCCATCGCTCGCAGACCCAAACCTTAACACCCCTGGTCACGCACTCTCTGGCCAAGCTTCCCCTGGCCAGTCATCCCTCGGCCACGCACTTCCCAGCCAAGTTCCCCCTGACTAGTATTGTCCTCTTTCCATGCTATATCAGAGAGCTACAACCTAGCCACCTCTGTCGAAGCCCTCATCGGATAGCCACGACCTCGCTGCTTCTGTCAAAGCCCTCACCGGATAGCACCACAACATCCACTACTGCAACATACACCTATTTGCGAGAAAATCATCATCCACACCTCTTCTCGGTAAACTGCCTTCAATAACCAAATACAGTTTGAGAAGGGGTGTTAAACATTGTAGTTAGGCTATCTTGTTTTCCTTATTTTAGTCCCACATTGCCTGAGTTACTAGAACTTCTCCTCTTGCTCTTGTATATTATCACCTCAATACAATGAATAAGATAATCCTTTTTCTCCCACAAACTCTATTCTTATCATCCTGAACTCAGTCGGTGTTAGTTTCTATATGATGCGACCTCCTTGTTCTTACTTCGTCATAACATCTTATATTCTTAAACCTTCTTTGCTGCCTAATATTATCTAAAAGACCAGGAACTAGGAAAAGTTTAGTAGAAAGGTCATCATGGAAAGGAGAAGTAATTAGATAGGATAACTAATGCTACCCTAAGAAAATCACTGAGTGCTGTCCTTCTCTATAATCTATAAGTATCTGCAGTGGATAACTAAAGGTATTAAGAAGGGACTCCCTCCCTCAGCCTAGTGGTCAAATAGGAGGACCGAGGACGAGAGGGCACCCAGATTTTTGTGGAAATTTAAGGATATGTTTCTTAAATGCAGAGCTTAGTTGTCCTCCATATGAAACATATACATCATCTTTCGTGGCATGGTCTTTTTTTGTTGGAATAAGGTTAATCAAAGAGAAGTGATTTCTAATTCAATGTATGAACATAATAATGATAGTATGAGACTCTAATGAGAGGATCTGAGGACCTACATGTACAACAAATAATAACCTTGTCATGCAAAAGGAATAGGATAGCAACATCTGATGTGAAATTTTCATCCTGGTGGTATCCTGAAATATTTACCTGTCTTATTTGCCACTTTGAAGTTCTGTTTTTGGCGTTTAACATTTGTCTTATTGCTTACCCCCTCCTTAGTTGTTCCTTTGGCCTTGATTGGTCAATCCGGACTATAACTGCTTTTTCTTAGATGGGATTTTATCATATATTCTTTTATGTTCCCTTACACTTTGTATCTATAGATATTCTGCTTGCCTTATGGTTATTTTCCTAGTAATACAATAACTTACTTTGTAAGTGTGGCCTCTCTATAGTGAGACAGTTGACAAACGTTAAATAATCAGACGAGAAAACCTTTGCTAATTGGAAAGCTATGTTAGATTTCTCAATCATCCCTAGCAGTATTTTTATATTCCTTTACCTGCACCTATGACCAACACATGCTGTGCATGTGAAGAATATATAGGTTCCGTTTGTATTTTGCACCTAATCTGATGACACTAGAATTAACTCACCTAAAATAACTGAAAAAATATCTGCCTAATGCATTGGGTCAGAGAAGCTGCACTCGCCTGCTGCATATACTTTCTCAAAGAGTAACAAATTTCATGTTCATTTGGGCTCTGGGTTTTTACTTTAAGGTGCAGCTATTCTATTTTGCCATTTCAAGTTCTTTATTTTATAGTAACTTTATTTGCAAGGCCATGATATTCTTTGGAAGTGAAACGAGATATGCAGATTGGAGGGAGATTATAGGCAGTTCTTTGATCCTATTTGCTTCTTTTTTTGGTTTTGTTTTTCGGTGGAATCATCAAGTGTTTTCTTGTGGGAATCAATAGCACAAAATCCTATTATAGATGTTATGAAACGAAGTACGAGGGCAAGCAAAGATGAGGATAGACCAGAGAGATGAGAAAGAGGAAATGTAGGAAAAAGAAGAGAGAAACAAAGCAAGTGCAAAGGCTAATTGTAACAAAAAAAAATGAAAGATGGAACATAAACCAGAGCTTTTGGTTGAGTTTCTCTTGGCTAATCAAATCAGAGCAAGTTACAACTCATATTCAGCATCTCCCTCTGCATGTGTGTGTTGGCACGTGACAAAGGAACATGTGGAAAATTTGAAAATAAGGATATACATGTTAAGAATCCTTTCACTAAAAAAAAGTTAAAAATCCATTCTTCGATCTATTGCTACAATAAATTGGTTTGCTTGAAGTTGTCTATACAGTTAAAAAGCATTATCATTTTTCTTCTCGCAGGGCGTCTTTGAAAGGTTTGATAGGGATCGGAGTGGTGAAATTGACTCCGCAGAATTGAAAGATGCCCTACTGAGTCTTGGATATGCAGTTCCACCTTCTGTAATCCAAGTACTTATGTCCAAATATAACGATGAAAGAGGCGGAAGGGGTTCTCTTAACTTTGACAGCTTTGTGGAGTAAGTGCATATTTTATCATTCTAAATTTTGCAGCAAATAGCACGGATCACGACCAGGTGAATTTCTCCATCTGACAAATAGTTTTTTGCATGTGCAGGTGTGGCACAATTGTGAAGGTAAGCCAAACAGGTTCTATTATTTTCAGTTCTCCAATTCTCTGCAAACCCCTATTAAATTAATAAAGAGTTGAAAATTTTAAATTGGGAAGATAATCTTAAATTAGTGACACTTGCCTCAGAGACATAATTATGTACGCAAACCCCTCTTTGCCCCAGTGTTCTGCTGGTAGAAAGAAATTAACAGTTTCTGAATGCCACCTGGTTATGGAAACTTTGTCATCTCTCTCCATAATTTATTGGCTTGTGAAATTTTATTCACTAATTTATAGTCTAATTCCGTGTTCTATTCAGTTTTTTGTTTCTGTTTTGATGGACGATCATGTGGCTCCTCCTTCCACATCTTTGGGTATTAATTTATCTCTTTTTTCATCTTCTATGGGCATATGGGTGTTTTTCTTAATATGTGTGCGTCTCTTTTTCCATCTTCTATGGGTATATTAGTGTTTTTCTTTTTTCCTTTTCCTCCTCTCCTGTGAGCTTGGCTCCTAGGATACTGTAAATGACACATTTCATTGACATCGTTGATCATTTGGAAATTTAGTAGCTCGATAGTTCTAACCCACCGACCTCCTTCAAAAGAATTTTTTACCACTTATAAGAAGAGCGCAACAATTTGCTACCTGGTTATAGTTCTTTTCAGGGCTTCTCAATAGGGGGTCCTTTTGCTTTGATTTTCGTACATGCTATGCTCAAGTTGTGTAGGGCGGCAAGCTGGCATAATCCTACCATGTTAAATCCATTATTATTTTTTAGCCTTTGCTTCACCCTCCTAGAAATTTAATAAATGCAAATCCATTTTTGTCTCCCAACACCTCAACCCCCACCCCACCCCTAGCAAAATACTATTACTATTTACATCAGTTGTAGTTTTCGCATAGCATCTGTTTGAGAGACATATTTCCTGCAGGGTTTGACGGAGAAGTTCAAGGAGAAAGATAAACGTTACACTGGTTCGGCTACTCTTACCTATGATGATTTCATGTTGATGGTCATTCCGTTCGTCGTTTCGTAGACCTGGTCTTGGTTTTTTTTGGATTCTTATATTGCTGTACAAATTCTATACTTACTCCTGTACAATGCTGTAAACGTTTTTATTGTAAACTATGACGGGTAACCTTTACATAGCATAGTTTAGGAGGATTGTTTCTTTGTACAATAGATAATTTTAACTTCTTTCATGTCCAAATCTCTATTGTTTTGCGCTTGGCATGCAAACAAATTTTGTTTAGAAGAATTTATTTTCTGTTTAAAGTTGAGAACTACTCTTTTTGTTTTAATCATTTCATATTTTTTTGATTCTTATGTCTGTGCTTATGAGCTTTTGGATACTGTTCTTTAATTAATTTGATATGCTTCTGTTTCAATTAATCTGATGCTCTTACACTTAACTAGAAGTTGATTGGTGATCACTTCAATTAATTTTATTAGTTTGAAGCACGGAACCATCAACAAAGGAAATGATGGTTAGAGGCTTGGGTTTGTATTGAACTGTTGATTGTTGCTCGTGTGTCATGGTTATTTTAGGGGAGCTGTTCTTCGTAGCAGCTTGCAAGAGTAGGGAAGCTTCGGGAGAGCGTTGATGTGCACTCTGTCACGTGGCTGGCACGATTTTTATAGAGTTTTAGTGAACGAGGGGTTAGAGCAACTCCAATGGAGCGCCAAAACTCCATTTTGGAGTATTTTGGCGCTCCAATGGAGCGCCAAACACCCCGCTAAATTAGCGGGGTGCTACAGTGTTGCGCCAGAAATGGCGCAACACTGTAGCAATGACGCAATTTTTTTTTTTGTTTTTTTCTTCTAAACTTTATTCTTTTATTCATATTTTCTTTTCTTTTTGTTTTTTCTTTTAAATTTTATTCTTTTTGCTTTTGTTTTTTATATTTGTATTAATAATATATATTATCTTATATTAATTATTATAATAAAATTAGAGTATAAAATAATTATTAAAATAAAATTTAAAAAGAAATAAGAAAAACTACACCATTTAGATAAAAATTAGGACATAAAAATGTAATGCCTTTTATTTTTATTTTTTGCTTGCAAGTGTGATGTTTTTTTTTGTGATGTTAAATGTAATCTTTAGTTGAATTTATGAAAATAATATTTTAATTTGATTTAACATTTAATTTTTATATTTTTATTTTATTCATAAAATATATTACTATAATTAATTATATGTAATGTATTATATAATTACATAATTTGTTAAATATTTTAAATAGATAAAATATTAAAAGATAAGAATAATAAAATGAATATTCTTTTTGGTGTAAAATTTGGTGTAATGGGTTGGAGATGGAATAGTAATTTGACGTAAAAACTACACCAACTTGATGTGAAAACTACACCATTTTGGGTTTTGTGGTTGGAGATGCTCTTAGTTTTTTTTTTCTTTGAAGAATAACAAGGGGTAAGTTTTAAGAGTTTTGAAATGGCCATATTAATTCTGATGTATGATGCTTTTCAACTGATCATTCCACTTTATAGCATTTTTAGGCGATGAAAACAGCTTTGAATTGTGTAATGTTTTTTTCATTCAAATGATAGTATTTCTTAGATGATTCAAACGCATTCCACATTTGTGTAGCATATTTAAAGAATATTTTCCAGATAATTCTTGCACTTCGGTGTTCTTATAGAGATCTCTTATGTGTATTGAATTTTTCAAGTACTAGTATAGTTTGTACTTGTATAATATTTTCGCAAATGATTGAAAAAGCATTTTAGATAATTTTACACTTTTCTAATGTCTTTCAGATGTAGTTAAATTGAAGCTATGTGACTTTTCATATGATTATACCATTTTAGATGTAAGCATGATTTCTTCAAAGAGTCTTACTAAAATATTCTAAGATTGTTTTATATTTAAATATTTCTGTAAATTATTTTTGAAAAATTGATACTTAAATACACCACTTATCTATTAAAAAATTATAATAGTATGTTTAGTTATTTACCAAAAATTATCATTTAGAGTTAATAACAAATAATAAATAAAAAATTATAAATTATATTATTAATTTAGATAAGTAATATGATATTTATTATTATCTCTCTAAGTATGTATGTAGTTTTAACTCATTTGGCCAAACTTGGAGTGCAATCTACAGATCGCCTAATCGATTCAGTATAAAATTGTATTTTCTATTTTTTAAACTTAAAATTGCAGGCACCAATTATAATATTCTAAATAAATAAACTCTTCATCTTTTTTCTCCGGTTAAGACTGCCTGTTGATTTAATTTTACTAAATGGTTATGTATGCAGTTTCTACATATAACATGCCCATACTAATTATGTGTTAGAGCCTGGCCCATCAACGGCCTAATATTCTTCACTGTGTCACTAGTGACGGTCTAGGGGTGGCAAACGGGTCGACCCGATCCATATAAAATTTTACCTGATCCGTATAAGTGTGACCCGATCCGCCTCGTTTAATAAATGTGTCAGTGCGATCCTACCCGTTTATTAAACTAGTTACTCGACCCGACCCATATAACCCGAATGACCCGTTTATCAAACTTCTAACAATGGACTTAAACTGTTCAAAATTTCCAAGCACTAGCATCCATACATTACCTCCACAGTCCACAGAACACTGATAACCATGAAGGAACAACAAATATGCACATTTAATAAAGCATCTCCAACCAAGCCCTCCAAATTTCACCCTCCAAATTGGAATATTCTATTCCAATTTGGAGGGTGAAATTTGGAGAGTTGCTCCAACCCACACACTCCAAATATTTTTTTTTATCAAAAAAGCCATATAAATTAATAATGTTGGATATAGTTTACATTAATAATTTTATTTTAATAATTTATTTGGGAAAAAATTATAACATTATAAAGGTGTCGATGAGAGCATTAAAATGAACCCAATATTAATAATGAAATACAACATATTAAGAAAAAATAAAATCTGAAATAATGATTCCTTGATGATGCCGAACGATTCCAACGATTTCTTGATCGGCATAGGAAGATTCAAGACATGAAAGCTCATTTTATGCTTCGAAACGCTAATTGAATATTTATGGCAGATGCACGACATTGAAGGAATGTAATTTAAATATTATAATTTATACTTGTATTTTTTATGAGGCAAGTTAAATAGATCACCATATTTAAAATTTTATGTCTGATACTTATTTATTTAATTTAAAAATTAATAATTTTATAATAATAGTAAAATAAATTAATCTTAGTTTCATTTTAAAGATCTCAACGAGACCTTTCCAAATATATAATGAATTCAAATATTAGATTAATAATTTTTTAACTATATTTATTTAAAATTAACATCTAATTTAAATTACTAAGAATGATGGAAAAGTGATAATTTTTAAGAAATTAAATAGTTAAAAGTGATAAAGTTGTAATTAATAAAACATGAATAGTATTTTGGAGAGAGACTCCAAATTTTCTCTTCACCCTCCAAATTTGGAGGGTGAAATTTGGAGATCTCCAAATTTGGAGAGTGGTTGGAGAGGTTCCACTCTCCAAATTTGAAGATTTTGCCATTTTAGAGGCCGGTTGGAGATGGCCTTAGGGACTTGTCACCAATAACAAAATTGGACTTTCAAACCAAAAACTCTCATAGATTTCAGTAATGCTGAAAATCATCAGAGCGCTCTATATAAAAAGCTCAAAACAATCCAACAAGCATATATGCCTACATAAACTTAGCTTACTCTCACGAAAACAAGTACTCACTCTAAATATCCTCTTACACTTCCCACAACAAATCTAAAATACCAATCAACATAACAGAATCCCAAGTTATTAAAATAGGCAACAAAATAAACATTTCTCTCTCTCTCTATTTGTTCATTTGGCACTGCTAAACTCCTTGCGCAGCTGCTTAGCAGCAGCAACCATGTTTGTAATTAATGATACCATTTCTCATGTATCTGAAGGTCACCCCCTAGCTGCTTCTCTGTCAACAAAGAGAGAAAGGGCTTAATTATATTTAGATTAGGACAATAATCAAAAATGGTAAATGTAATAGTGGAAATAGGAAGAACAATTCAAATCATAATACCGGAGTAATCACCAAAACGCGAAGTAACTACGTAGAAAGTTCTGAAGCATCAAAGCCAATGTACATATAGGCTCAAGAATATTTGCTCCGATGCCATGACGAAAGAGGTAAACTAATGCATTATTATAATTTCTTTGTAGGTACAGATGAAAGGCCTACTTAGAGCATCTGCAGCAAGGTACCACCCTACCTCCTAAAGCTAAGGTGGCGGTGGGAGCTTGCTGGAGATCGATGCTCCAGCAAGCTCCCAAGAGAACTCCTTGGGTTGGCGTGGGGCTGTGCCACGGAGCTTCCAAGCATACTAGGAAAACCTTGTTGTGAAGGCGTGCAACGTCTTCATTAGTCGATGAACGAAACTATTTTTCCCCAAAGATGTCGATAATCGATCGACGAACCTCTTCAGGCTCTCAATCGATGTACTTTCACCGATCAGAACGTAGTCGTCAACGGAGTAAGCAGATGCTCCATATACGAGCATTCGCATAGCTGCAGTAATCTTTTGAAGGCTAGATAGTCCCAACTGTCCAGCATCATTCCTCTTTTGGACGAAGTACTCGTCATATTCGATGATTGCGTTGTGGATTCGAAGGAATAACGAACGCGACATTCTGAATCTTCGATGAAAATAATGAAGAGGATAGGTTGGTGTGTCTGCAAAATAATTTTGGAACAACCGATTGTGGCCTTCCAGTCGGTTTCGATGGAACACGATACGTCTTTTGTGTTGACGTGCAGTTCCAACTTTATCTTGTTCTTCTTCTTCGACAACAACAGCTCCCATAAGAAAGAACGTCTTCATCATTCCATCATCATTTGAGCTAGATGAGCTAGACATTTTGTTGTGGGAGATGATGGGTTGAGGTGAGAAGGCGTTGAATTTTATGAGAATCAGTCGGTTGACGATCACAATGTGCAATACCTCGAACTTCGTACCCAACGGATAGGAATTTGTCGGTTGTCAGTGAAAGTGCATGCTCACTCGAAGATCGTGTCCAACGGATATGAATCTGTCGGTTGTCAGTGGAAATATAGGCAACCTCAAAGACCGTGGGTTACCTCGAAGACCGTGCCCAGTGGATAGGATTATGTTGGTTGTCGATGAAAGTGCACGCTCTCTCGAAGATTGTGTCCAACGATTAGGAATCAAATAAAAGAGGTTTAAATATACTTGAAAGTAATGGGTAACAAAAATAAAATAGAAGAGGATTTTTTTGATATTGTTGGAGCTCCTAACTAGGAGCTTATTGGAAATCAACATTAGTTAGGAGGGTGATGTGACATTAAAAATGGTAGGCCATGGTCTTGAGAGGGCTTGAGAGCTCTCTAACAAGGACTCCTAATTAGGACCTTATTGGAGATGCTCTTATAGAAACTGCGTGGTTTTTACGCGCACGCGCTGTACACGTGTTTAATTTTTGAACAGCGTTAGTATTACTTCCTTCTATAGTTCTTTTTAGTAATACCCATTGCCTTCCTCCAGTCCCCGTTTTAAAATCCTCTTCGAAAATAGCAATCGCGGGCGAACTTCTGGCCTTCGCTTAATTCTCTTTTCATTCTGCAATGTTATCAAAAAGTTAGGGCTAGCATGTTCCTCTTCAAAAGATGAAGTTAGATCAGTTGCTGAAGAGAAAATTCCTGTCTCGTTTCTTGAGAGGAGGCTGAGCATCGGATCAAACCCCTCTGTTTCTTGAGAGATGGCGAAATTTGCAGGTTTGATTTCTTCCACTTTTTTGAAATACCAACCATTTATCTTTCAATTTCCTGCAATTTTCTGGATTTAGGGTTTGATGTCAAATTGATTTGTTTTCTTTTCTTTTTTCATTTTTTTTGGTTGAATCAGCCGAAACGACAAGATATTTTGAGATTTCAATGTCCCGTTATTAATTCTGGAGATGGATGAGTCCAAGATCACTCTCCCAGTTCTTGAGAGACTGGGATTTCACAGGTCAATGCTTTATCACGTTTTTTTTAAGATTAGATATTTCTTTCTTCAGATTCCAGCAGATTTTGTTGTTGTAGGGTTTAAGGTCAAATTTGATTTTTCTTTTGTTACTTTGTGTCATTTTCTTTGTTGAATGAACAAAAAGGAAAGATGAAGTCTTGATAACATAATTGTTATAGTACTGTCTAATGATGCACCTGTAGGTTGATTTTCGAGGGGGTTTGAATGAAGATGAAGATTAAATCATTTAAGTGAGTAACCACTGAGTTATAAGTCTTGTAGAAGGGTTAAGTGCTTTTATTATTTATCATTAGAAGGATGCCATGACCTTGATGATGTTTCTTGTGTCTGCCGATTAAATTGCTACTTGGAAAATGCTTACTTGCTACTTGGAAAATGTTTGTGATATTTACATGTCTGTAAAGCATATTGTTATGGACAACTTTCAGAGGCTATTACATCCTTTATAACTCTTAGTTTGCGATATTTGCATATCTGTAAGCATATTGTTGTGACTTTTATTACTTAAGTCCCATTGTGTGCAGGAAAATTCTGTGTTGTGATGCTTAGCGGCCTGCTTACTTCTTTCTTCTTTTTAGCTTTTCTTGAAGGCCTACTGAGTTTGCTGCTCTGGAAATGTCTTGGGGAATGTTGGTTAAGCAAAATATTCCAATTTCTTCTGTTGTATTTTGAGTATGTTACACTAGATTGTTGATGTAATGATAATTGCTCCATAATATGTAGTTCTCAGTAATATTTAGAATTAAGTTTCTCAACCTTATCCTGGACACCTTACATGTTTAAGAATCTACTGCTAGGTTCAGGCATCTTGCACTACCTCTTAGACCTAACATCTTTTCCAAATACTTATTATATCTAAGTCATTGCAGGTATTCCTTTCCATAGTTTATTTACATTGGACGCAAATTCAATCTTACTCTTAATCCTTTATTACATTAGTGCTAACATGTTGTTTTTCTTTCCTGAATCATATGGCTCTAAATGTTACAGTTCCTCAAGAAGTTAGTAGTTGGTATTTGTATGTACGGCCACCTTATTATTCTAATTTCATCCAATCACCATCTGTTCTCAAACCTCCTATGCCTTTCCTATGATTTGAATTTGATCTAACCTCCTATGCCTTTTATATGATTTGAATTTGATCTATGACTTGAATAAGATTGGGAGAATATAATACTGAAATATGGTGATATATGAGGGTGATGTAGAAATTGAGTTGAGATATTAAAAATTGGGATTTATCATTTGATGGCTAATCAAATTTAATTAAGAATCTGATTGCATATGAATCTTCACGAGCAACTAATTTTGATGCAATGTTTTAAAAAGCCACCGCCTAGCCCGCCTAGGCGTACGCTTAGGCCTAAGCGGTATCTTGACCGCCTATCTGGCGCCTAGCACCTAGGCAGTACATAAGCTACCCACCTAGATTTTGAGAGCGCTTAGGGGAGCATGATTTGCCTATATGGACTACACCCTTTAGGTATTGTTCATGATTTCCTCCATAGTAGCCTCACGTCCTTTAACCTCCTCTAAACTTCAACTATGAACACTTTCTCTATCTCTCCCAGCCTTTAGCAAAACCTCCTCCATTACCACTTAAGAAATATGTGTAGGTGTCAGTCCAGCACCTAAACTTTTTAAAACACTGGCATTTACTATTAGTAATTGTAATTAAAAATAAGAAAAAAGAAAACGTCTAGTCCCCGCCTAGGCTCCAGCCTAGCCGCCTAGGCTCTAGTCATTGGGTCTAACGGCTAACGCCTAGCCCCTCTAGCGCTTTTTGTAACCTTATTTTGATGATACCAAATGGATTTATGATTTTAACATTGATAATTATTGACTAGTGATTGAGGATGGGGATTCGATTTGGATTAAGGTTCTAAAACACAGTTTCATACCGCGTATTGTTTGAAATCGGCTAGTGATTAATCAGATCATGCGATGGAAAACTAGATTATGCAGAGTTTAGGCCCCACCTAGGCTTCCGCCTAGCCGCCTAGGCTCTAGTCATTGGGTCTAACGGCTAACGCCTAGCCCCTCTAGCGCTTTTTGTAACCTTATTTTGATGATACCAAATGGATTTATGATTTTAACATTGATAATTATTGACTAGTGATTGAGGATGGGGATTCGATTTGGATTAAGGTTCTAAAACACAGTTTCATACCGCGTATTGTTTGAAATCGGCTAGTGATTAATCAGATCATGCGATGGAAAACTAGATTATGCAGAGTTATGCGTTTTTGAAAATTTTAATATATATATATATATATATATATATATATATATATATATATAAAATTTATTAGATATATAAATATTATAATTCATGATACATATATAAAACATTTCAAACAAAAAGACTAACAATAATCTCCTAAGTTATTCAAATCAAAGTCGTTATACACTCAAGTAAAACTAATAAAAGTTTATAAACTAAAAACACTCCTGTAAGTTATTATAAAACTTAAAGAATAGTAATAAACCTCCTTATTTAGTCTTCCTCATCATCCTTACTATGATTGGTGGTGGAAATAACAACAGGAAACAACGACAAGCAACGTAGATACTTGACGACAATCGGAGGTGGTGATTTCCGAACTAGTGTCGTTGGAGAGAAGGCTACATGTCATGGAGTGGCTAGGTTTAGGGTTTGGAAGTAGTGTATTATTTTCTGGGGATCTTTTGAGGTATTGATCAGGAGACTTTAGGGTAATTAAGTATTGTGCGGGTCTGTTCGGATATATTATGTGCCCATATTATTTCATTATGAAGGTGCATACTCTCTAACTGCTCGATTATGCCGTTTGACTGCATAACCGAGCGGGTTTCAGCTACCCAACACTATTTGGTGTTGGGTAGGAGTACACAGGCGTGTACTCGGTCGGGTAGAGCGTGTTTTTGGACACTGACTTTAGATTAGATTTTGATATGATTTATCTGAAGATTGATTTGGAAGTTTATGATTGATATGTATAATAATTGAGGATATAAGATTAGTTTTGATTTGATATTGAGATTCATTGACCGGTGATTGAGAATTGAGATTTGATTTGGATTTTTTTGAGTAAATGAGTTCCTTATGGCTTAAGTTTTCTTGGAGATGCAGTATATTTAGGTGTTTTGATGAGAGCAGAGAGTTTTGTATCAGAGTGTGACTGTGTGAGATATGTTATGATTTTTATCCTAAGAGTTGTATTTAGTTTAGAGCTATAATGATATTATTGATGGATAGACTTGTGAACATGGTTTCATTAAACAAAATGGAGTTATAGTTTTTTTTACGGTTTCTTATATTCATGATGGTTAATATTAGTCGATATCTATGCTAGTCTAGAGGCGTGAACGTAATGAGGGATGGTTCTAAGAGCATAAATATATTGTGATATTTATGCATGTATTATTGGAAGAAGGTGTGGTAAGATTCTTGTTGTATTAGAGCTTAGGAGTAGTTGAGTCTTGGATGATTATTTGAAAAGCAAATTTGATATGATCTTGGATTGAGGAAATTAAATTGATGATTTATTTAAAATGAGGTCTAGAGGTTTTAAATTTTGATCTATGATTTAGATTTGATTTTGAGTAAAATTAGGAAAATATTATATTGGGAGATATAGAAATTGAGTCGAGATATTATAATTTGAGATTGAATATTTGTTGACTAATTAGATTTACTGATTGTGTGCGAATCTACTTGTAAAGTTATTGAATTGATTTATGATTTTGAGATTGAGAATTACTTACTGGTGACTGGGGATGAGGATTTTATTTGGATTGGATTTTGATCAGATGATATATTTAACGATTGGTTTAGAAGATTATAATTGAGATATAAACTAATTTTAATGATATAAGACTGCTTTACAATTTTGACATTTAAAATCATTTTGACGAGTGAATCAAGATTTGATTGGGATCTTGTTTTGAACTAAGCGAGTCACTTATTTCTATTTTTAGAGATGTAATATACTCTAGATAGGTATTTTGATTGGAGTTGGGAGTTTTGTATCAGGGTACGATGTATGTTATGATTTTATCTCCAGAGTTTTATTTATTTTAGAGTTGTAATGATATTATTGATGTCTAGACTTGTGAACATAGTTTACTTAATAAATAGAGTAGTGGTATTTCTAGCTTTTCTATATTCATGATGTCTAGTAATAGTTGATATTATGCTAGTTTTAGAGCCGTGAATTTAGCTATGAGAGAGGGTTCAATCTATGGCCATGAAAATTTCGTGTGATATTTATGCATGTATTGTTGGACCGTGGCGAGATAAGGTGCTTTTGATATTAGAGGTTTGGTTGAGCAGTGATTGAGCTCAAGTGATGTAGTGGAAATCGAATCATATTTCATATCTTGAGAAATTGAATTTATGAGTTAAATGGAATACGGGATGGAAAGTTAGATTTAAATTTTGATCCATCATTATGATTTGATTTGAGTAAAATTAGGAAAATATAATGTTGAGATATAGTAAGAAATTGAGTTGAGGTATTAAAATATGAGATTGAAAATTTGATGACTCATCAAATTTATTTAATTATCGATTGTGACTAGATCTTCAAGAGAGAAACTACTTTTAAGGATATCCAATTGATTAGTGATTTTGGGTTTGAGATTTATTTGCTGGCAATTGAGGTTAGGATTGCTTTGAGTTGGATTTCTATCTGATTTATCTAAGGATTGATCGAGAAGTTTATGATCAAGATGTATTCTAATTTTGAGGATATAAGATTGATTTATTATTTTTTGACTAATAATGATTGATTGTTGATAAAAGTTGGAAGTTTTGTATCAGAGTGTGAGATTTATGATTTTTTGTTGATAGTTGTATTTAGTTTAGTGTTATAATGATATTATTGATGTATAGACTTATGAACATGGTTTGATTTAATAAAAGGAGCTATAGTATTTTCCAGGTTTCCCATATTCATGATTTCAAATAATAGTAGATATTTATGCTAGTCAATAGTCAT